CGGCCCTGTGGCCCTGGGGAGGGGACCCAGCACGACTGACTGCCCAATGGTGGAGGAGGGCCACAGAGGTGGGAAAGAGTGTGTGCAAAGGTAAGGAGTAGGGATGATGGGGGGAGGCATCTCCATTCTGGCTGGAACAGCAGGTGTAGGTGTGGCCTGGGGGACACAGGGAGGTGTGGCTGGGGGAAAAGGCTGGGGGCCGTGAGTAGGAGCTGGCGGTACTTTCCCTATGGGGTTGGATGGACTGCTAGCATCTTCTGCTTTTGTCCTCCTCAGAGGTATCTTGACCCTGTGTTTTTCTTGAGCAGCTGGCTGGACTGTCTCCTGTAGACGAGGCCGCTGGGGCCCAAAGAGGGCAAGCTCTGTGTCAAGGCTGCCCAACCAGAACTGGCACCCGCATATCCTGTCCTGGATTGGTGCTCTAGGCAAAGTAGAGACTGCACTGGCTGTTCCGGGGACTCTGGGATCCTCTTTCCCTTCTTGGCTGGGGAAACAGGGCCTTCAGCCACACTCATGGGTTGCCTGGAGCCTATTTCTGGACTCGATCCCAGGCTGAAGGCCTGAGAAGTCACACTAGAAGGCAGAACCAGATAAGCTCACCCTGAGAGATGGCGAGTGAGAGCCTGCGGGAAGTGGAGGCAGGATGGCTTCATGACTAACTGGGGGTGGAAACCAGAGAAGACTGCCTGGAGGAGGAGGGCTGGGTAGGGGATAGGTGTGGAGGAACATGAGTAGGAAGGATGGTCTGAGGCAGATGTCTCTGTCTCCTTGTCCCTTGCTCTCCATCTCTGTCCTCTGTCTCCATTTCTTGTTCTCCCTCTCCTCCTTGCCTCCGCCTCCCTTGGCCAGTGCCAGGGGAACAGAGGGCAGAGAGGAACCGGCTGACTTGCCTTAGCTAATTACTTGACTGCGGGCATAAAAGGAGGATTAGCTGGGGTCTCTTGGGGTCCTCCCTGACTCCCTAATCCTGTGGCCCCTTTTCCCTGGCACGGAAACGAGGGATTTGTTCTGAGTCCCTAATTAGCTAATTATGCCTTGGCTCAGTGGCCCTGGGACTCCCTGGGCCCAAGGGAGGGCTGTGGAGTGAGCTGGGGCCTGGCTCGGCAGAGGGAAGAGAGGAGGGGGAAACGGGCTGCCATTCAGGGAAGCCAGCCGAGTAGGTTTTGAGGAGCCTTTCAGAATTTCAATATCCTGGAGAACAAGGAAATGTAATTAATTGAGCAACAAAGGCCGGGCCCCGGGGAACAGCCAGGCTGGAATTGAGCAGAGCCACCTGCCTCCTCGCCCTCTTTCTGACCCAGCCTCTTCTCTCGTGGCCGCTGGCCGCCAGCCGCCAGCCGCCAGCGCTTGCATCCTGCCTCTGTCCCTGCCCCATCCAAGGGCTCAGCCTGCTCAGAATCTGCCCATGGGCCTCCCAGATCCGTCACCTAGCATAAAGCCTTACGCTCCTTGGACTCCGCTTTGCAGCCGCCCCCAAGCATGGCCTCTCCGAATGGTCACATACCTTTGTGCCTTTGCCATGGCTTTGCCTGGCTCAAGTCAGTCCCTCCAGGAAGGTTCCCAGAGCTGCCTCCACTCCCCAGGCTTGGTTGTGTTTCCCAACACCGTGCCCTCCCCAACCACCACTAGACTGCAAGCTCTGAAGGGCTGAGATGTGGAATGTTAGCGTTTGGCTTCCTCCGTGCCCAGTACTGTGCTGGGCAGACAACAGCATCTGGAAGTGTTTGATAGGTGAATGAATGATGGGGCCCCAGAAAGGCCTGCAACTGGCTAAGGTCACATTTGTGTGGATTTGGATGGATGGCATGGGTGCTTGACCTGTTTCCTTGCTTCCCTCCCTTGCACACCCTTGGCTACCCCCTTGGGGGTGGGGGTGGGGTATTGAGTCCTCACTCGCCCTGTCCTGCTCTCAGCTAGAGGTCACAGCCTACTAGGGAGCCCCCTGCCTTTCCCCGGAAGAGGCTGACCTAGTTTTGTGGGGAGGGAGGATGGGGTAGGCATTAATTATTGATTGGAAATCACACCACACAGAGCTCGTGATGCAAATCCCAAATTACCCTCATTAACAACCACCTTAGCATCACCCTAGAATAAGCAAAAATCTGGATAGGGTCCCTGCTCTCCTTGTCACCAGCTTTTCATCCTCCCCTCTCCAATCTTCCATTCTTTCCTCATGACCTGTCACATCATTCAGCAAATGTTGGCCAAGTCTTTGTTCTGGGCTAGGGCCCGCTGGGTTCTGAGAATGCTGACACAGACACAGGCCCTGCTCCCAGGAGCTAACAGCCCAATGGAAGAGGCAGGGGGGCAAACCTAATTATACAGTAGGGCTAGAAGATTGCCTAGTGAATGGGACCTTCAAGGTTGTGCAGTATGCAACCTATACAACTGTCCAAGGCAGCTTAGGCTAGGTCAGAGGTGCTGAGATTGCTCAGAGCAGAAGAGAAAGGGATGAACTCCACCTGGGAAGGAGTGAGAAAGAATAGGGGAAAGCTTTACAGACAGAAAGTTGAGCTTCAGCTGGGTGGTGGTGGCTGAATAGGGATTTGCCAGGCATAAGAGACATGGAAGGTTGTTCCAGGAAGAATAGCATGAGTAAAAGCATGGAGGTGTGAAATCCTATAGTATATTTAGGAAATTTGGTATTGAGAGAGAAACAGGCAAAGGTGAAGGGTATAGAGAGAGAGAGAGAGAAAGCTAGAGAGGTAGGTAGAGTCAGACCTCACAGGATCTTGGAAGGTATGCACTCAAGAATGATCTACCAGCTCCTGACCCATGTTGGGCCCGTAGACATTTGTGTGGACCTTCCCCCAAGAAAAATTCATGTTGTCATACTCGCACATTTTGTAGCAATTTCATAAGGTTCATGGACCTCCTGCAGCCCTTCCAGTCTGTTGTCAGGAATTGCCCCCGTTCTGTCCTGGGCTCTGTTTTCCCTTGGCTGGCTTCAATCACAGGCAGGCACTGCCCTGCTAAGGCAAGACAGTCCCAGCAGCGGTCCCAGTAGTTGCAGGTGTAACTCTTCCCAGCTTCTAAGCTCTGCAGAAAGCGAGCATTTCCCTCCCCGGGTAGTTCCAGCACAAGTCTCAGGGCTGACACTCATTGGTCCTGGACCGGGTCACATGCCCATCCTAGACCAACCCCTGGGGCTAGGGGAACAGAATGTGCCAATCTGCCCCTGATTGGTCAGGCCCAGGTCATGTGATCTCCATGGCAGCTCAGCCAAACCACAGGGACCGGAGTGGGGGAGTGAGGCTGTTTTTTGTTTTGTTTGTTTGTTTTTTTAAGATTTATGTATTTATTTGAGAGAGCAAGATGGATAGAGAGAATGTGTGCACCAAACAGGGAGGAGAAGAGGGAGAGGGAAAAGCAGACTGCCCACTGAGCAGGGAGCCTGATGTGGGACTCGATCCCAGGACCCGGAGATCATGACCTGAGCCAAAGATAGGTGCTTAATGGATTGAGCCACCCCAGTGCCCCATGGGGCTGGGTTCACAGGGCTGGGAAAGGAGTCTGGGTCAAACCGAAAGCAGAGATGACCCATTTGCCTGGGGTTTGTACTCCTGTGGATTCTCCAGTTACTGGGGTGGCTGGATCTTCCTCCGTAGAGTCAAGGGGGAGTGGGTGGCATACAGATGGGTAATGAGGTCGTAATGATGGATGACATCACCCAGACTTGGGAGAGCTCGTCAGTTTCACAGGCAGGGGCTGCGGGGTGGGACTGAGCCTGTGGAAGGGAGGAGGGCATGAAGGGTGTGGACAGTGGTGTGGATCAGCCCAGGGCAGGAGGGACAGAAGGGAAGGACAGGGATGTAGATGTGCAGGGTGGTAAGTGTGTGTGGGGTGGCAGCTCTAGGGTTTGCTGTGATAGGGGTGTGGCCCTGGAGCTGGGGAACTTTTGCAGGGTGGCTGCTGTCTTCTTGGGCCCCTTTGCTGAAAGGCCTCATCTTCCAAGAGGGGAAGGGACTGGCCCAAGTTCACATAGGAAATAGGGCAGGATTTGAACCTGGATCTCTCTAAATCAGAGGTTGCATGCTTTCCACAAGCTTTCTTTTCCTACCTGCTGGGGTTCCGGATATCAGACCCCTCCAGGATGTAACCAACACATTCTGCTCCCCTTCCCATACTTGCCTGAAACCCCCCTCATTCACCCTGATTCCCACCCTGCCTCCAGCACTCACACAAAGGGGCTTCTGTCTCCATTCCTCTTTCCTCTGGGCTGGCTGGTTCTTTGTAGCTATTCCTCGGGAAGGAAAGTCCTCTTCTGCTCTCTGGCCAGATCTGAGTCCACTGCTGCTGGTATGGCTCTTCTGTAGGTTGTCTGAGAGCTCTGCCTGGTTCTACCATGTGGTGGGGTGGGTCAGTGGAGTGGCTGGAACCAGTGGCTGCCCCAGCGATGAAGGACATTTGGGACACATTCATTAGACACCTACTGTGTTCATTTGGGTGGGTTCTGCGCAGAGTGAGATGAGCCAGCCTTGGTCTCAGGCTGCCAGGTAGTGGGGGGTTGTGGAGGGAAGGCCAGACTTGGTGTCAGGACCCCTGGTTTAAATCCAGACCCTGCTGCTTCCCAGCTGTGTGACTTCAGGCAAGTAGCTTTAGTTCTATGGACCTCTAGTCGCCCCTTCTATAAAATAAGGATAATATCACCAGCCTCATGGATTTGTCATGAAGGCTGAAGGAGATCATATTTGTGCATTGCCCGGAAGAGAGTTTGGCACATAAATTGTGCTCCGTAACTAAATAGCTACTTATTCATCTGGAATCTGGTGGAAGTGCGGTGGGGCCCAGAGCCATTTCCGTGGCCTCTGGGTGGAAGGGCCGACACCAAGGGGAACGTCTATTTAATGGCCACTGAGCAGGCTGGGAACAGTTAGGAGCCCCTGCCCATGTGTCCCCACCTCTCCTCCCTGGGCCCCTCTCACTGTTTCTCTGAGCCTGCTCTCCCTTTCTCCTCTGGGGCCCTCTGCTCCCAAGTCTGACAGTCTCTCCACCCACAGGTATGCGGATCCTGGTGAACCTGCTCCTGGATACGCTGCCCATGCTGGGAAATGTCCTCCTGCTCTGCTTCTTTGTCTTCTTCATCTTTGGCATCATCGGCGTACAGCTCTGGGCGGGCCTGCTGCGTAACCGCTGCTTCTTGGAAGAGAACTTCACCATGTGAGTCTGGCCCCTGCCACCCTGGTGGCCGCCAGCCATCTTTGCCTAGGGCGGCAGTGGTTCCGATGTTTGAGGGGTTGGTCTCCTCACTGAGCCCCTGGTCCCAATCCTTATTCCCAGTGGGGCAGAGAAGTCAAGAAATGAGCTCAGGTATGTCGGTTGTGGGTCTCCTGTGAATGGCTGGGCACTAAAAGGGGCACAAAATGCCAGTGAGGCCTCAAAATGGGCATCACAAAGTCCTAGACTAAAGTAGGTCCTTAGATGCTAATTCAGCTCCCAGTGACTCTTACTTAACACACAGTTTGAACTTACTCGGTAACTGGGAATGGGGCCGAGTGGAAGAATGGACAGAGTGGAAGCTGCCTACCAGGAGGTCAAATGAGAGGGGAATGGACAGTCAAGACCCAAGCAGACGTGATGTCAACAGGGAAAAGGGAGACAGAAAACCTCAAAAGCAGACACAGAACTTGGCCCAATGACAGACATTCCTCTCCATGACTCTGAGTCATCAAGGAAAGGTCATCTTTCAGTCGGCCAGTGCCCTGATGAGCAGGTGGGTAGGCTACCCCTCAGGGAGGCGGTTGTCAAAGCCATCCAAACAGAAGTCAAGCTTCGGCTCTTGGAGCAGCTGTGTTGAGTTGTCTGAGAGATCTGACATCTATGGAATGCCCATGGTGAGAGGTGAGCCGTGTCTTGGAGTGTGTGTACCTACACAGATGCGTTTGGACAGGAGCCTACTACCACTTTACTGTGTGTTAGCGTGCTCCTGCCTAGTGCCAGGCCCCGGGGAGACAGAAATAGGGAAGTGTGTTCATTCAGCCTCTCACTCGACAAAAGCACTCAAGTGGCTGCTCTTGCCAAGCCCGTGCTTAGTGCAGAGGACCCAGCAGAAGATGGACTTCCTGCCCTGGGGGAGCCGGTCACAGATGTGTCCACTGAGTGACTCTTGTGGACCGAGGACGCTGCAGGAGGCATGGGGACACTGCTTGGAGTGGGCTGAGCTTTCTCCCTCACAGCCTGTCAGTCATAGAGATGAAGTTAAACCAGAGAGCCAGGGTGAGGACTGGGGAGGGGCCTGGGTCACCTGCCCATTGCTGGGGGGACTCGCAGGACACCTGGTAGACCAGAGAAGGGGCATCCTTGTGGGAAGGGCCTTGTGGGATGGGTGGGGGGTCTACTCTTGTGTCAGTCACTCAGAAGAGGTGGGCCCTGAGGCAGCAGGAGATGGGGGCACCTGCTTCTCCTGGTCTGGGCTTCAAAGATGGAGATGTACAGGCATGAGCTCTCAGTTTTAGGGGTTCAGGACATGTCCAGACCCCTCTGTCCCACGTGGATCTTCCCCTAGGTCATTCTGTGGCCACCCCGTTCTCATTATCCCACTGCAGCCCCAGTGTCACACCCTGCTGGAGGCTTTCCCTCACCATGCCCCACTGTCCCCCACTCCCAGACACCCTATTGCATTATCTGGTTTGATTTCCTCTAGACACCATCTCTGTGTGAAATCACACTTGTGAGTTTATTTAACTTGGTCATCGAGTGTCTCTAGACCGGTTTATTTACTTGGCTAACGGTGATGAAGTGCCCCAGAGTAACAGGTGTGACTGAGGTGACGCTGAAGTTCGACCCCAGGTGGAGGCCCGGCGGCCGCGGCTGAGCATGGGGTACTGAGCTCTAGGGCAAGCCTGACAAATCCAGAGCTGGAATTCGAACTCAGGTCCCCCTGCCTGCAGAGACTGCTGTGACTGCCCCCGGTGAGCGTGCTCCCAGCACACAGAAGCCCCTGCGGAGACCCTAAATGGTCGGTCTAGGGGTTCTTGAGCACAGAATCAAGACAGTATCGCCCAGCTAGGAAGTGGCAGAGGCCAGAATGTGGACTGGTGTCCTCTGCAAAGCGTCTGGTCCCTTCTTCCAGATTCTGTCTAAGCATTAACATGCACACACACGCCCATTCCCATCCCAGGCAGGTTTTCAAACAGGGTAGCTTGAGGGTGTTTTCACACCAGTATTTCTTACTCCGCTGAGAAGCCACGGTTCATCCAGCCAGTCCCTGTTGATGGACCTTGCGTGGTTTCCAAGGTGTTGCTCCTGCATACAAGAGTGCATTGTGCACACACGTGATCCGTATGGACGCAGTGATCAATGGCTAGGCTCATAATTACTAACAAAATGTATGTCTGTTTTTTAGATTTTATTTATTTATTTATTTGACAGACAGAGATCACAAGTAGGCAGAGAGGCAGGCAGAGAGAGAGAGAGAGAGAGAGAGGAGGAAGCAGGCTCCCCGCTGAGCAGAGGGCCCGATGTGGGGCTTGATCCCCGGACCCTGGGATCATGACCTGAGCCAAGGGCAGAGGCTTTAACCCACTGAGCCACCCACGTGCCCCAATGTATGTCTGTTTTTATACTTTATTGGTTAAGATACAAATTGCATTCATTCGTGGTCACAACTACTAAGTACACAGCTTTATGAAGTTTTCCCTGTAAGGAGGCTCCCTCCTGCCCCTGGCCCGTTCCTATCCCTGTCACCCCAAAGTAGCCACTATTCTGACCTCTATCTCTGTAGATTTGTGTTGCCTGTTTTTGAGGTTTCTCTCAGTGGAATCATACAGGAAGCCACCTTTTGTGTCTGCCTCTTCGGCGTAGGGTAATGTGTCTTTGAGAGTCACCCACGTGCTTGCGGGTGGCAGTCGCTTTCTTGTTTTTCGTTGCTGTGGGTAGATATTGAGCAAATACACAAGTATTTATCTTTTTCATGCCACTGTTGATTTGGGCTGTTTCGGGTTTTTTTTGGCTCTTATGACTCATGCATATTCTTGGACATATCTTCGGTGGATAGAGCCATCCTTTCTTTGGGGTAGATACCCAGGAGTGGAATCGTGAAGGGCGCACGTGTGTTCAGCTTGTGTAGATTTTGTTGCATGCGTTTCTGGATTGATCGCATTAAACGTCTGCTGGCAAAGTCGGAGAGTTCCAGGGACCTGGCATTCTTAGCAACATTTGGTATTGTCCGTCCTTTTAATTTTAACTCTTCCAGGGAGAGGGCGGTGGTATCTTATTGTGGTTTTAATTAATACTGTCCGTATGTCTAGTGATTAGCACTTTTCATGTACTTATGGGCAATTCGTGCATCTTCTTACACGGTGTCTGTTATGGTCTTTAGCTATTTTTAGATTGGGTTGTCCTTTTATTATAACTTTGTAGTGGCTGGTTCTTTGTATGCAGGATTATGTCTCCTTTGGTGGCAGATATATATGTATTATGTGTACAAGCATACATATAATTGCAGATATTTTATATGTATATATGATATATATAGAAATTATATATTTGGTATATATATGTGTGTATATATATACATACTACATATCTATCTATATATGTATATATATAATATGTGTATTTATATATATATTGCACATATTTTATTCTAGCCTGTTCCATTTTCACTCTCTTAATGGTGTTATTTGATTTGAAAAGAAGCTCTTAGTTGTAATGATCTGGATTACCAAGTTTTTAAAAAGATTTTATTTATTTATTTGAAAGACAGAGATCACAAGTAGGTAGAGAGGCATGCCCCCCGCCGAGCAGGGACCCCCCCCCCAATGCGGGACTCGATCCCAGGACCCTGAGATCATGACTTGAGCCAAAGACAGAGGCTTAACCCACTGAGCCACCCAGGTGCCCCCCAATCATTTTTTTAGTATTGCTTTTCGTGTCCAGCTTAATCTTTCCTTAAGCCAAGGTGATGAAAATATCCTCCGATGTCTTTTCTTAGAAGCTTCCCATTTTATCTTTCACATTTAGGTCTGTATTCCATCTCAGATAATTTTCAGTAAGCTGTATGGTTTGGGTCAAGATTTCCCCTCTGTAGGGTATTCGATCATCCCAGCACCATTGACTAAGAAGTCCATCCCCGCTCTGTGGAGTCGCAGTGCTGTCTTTCTGACGTCAGGTGGCCATTTGATGTGGGGTGGGTGTGTACATGTTAATTGTTGATGGATGTTGCCAATTGCCTTCTAAAAAGTTTGTATCAGCACACACTCCCACCCTCAGCGTGTGCTCATGTCTGTTTATACTCACTCTTTTCCACACTTAGTACTGTTAACACTGATACACTTCCATTTGGTTGGGTATAAAGTGATCTCGATGTTATTTTTGTTTGCATTTTCCTATTACTAGCCAAGTGAGCAACTCTTCCTATATATTGATATATTGGTTCCCCCCTTTTTTTCAAGTACATTGGCCATTTTTATTTCTTCTGTGAATTTTTTTTAAAGATTTTATTTATTTATTTGATCACAAAGTAGGCAGAGATCGCAAGTAGGCAGAGAGGCAGGCAGAGAGAGAGAGGGGGAAGCAGGCTCCCCGCCGAGCAGAAAGCCTGATACGGGGCTCAATCCCAGGACCCTGGGATCACGACCTGAGCTGAAGGCAGAGGCCTAACCCACTGAGCCACCCAAGCGCCCCTCTTCTGTGAATTTTTTTCTTTGCATTTTTATGTCCTTTCTCCCCTAGTGGTTATTTTTCTTTTTCTTACTGAGTATAGGTGATTTTAACATGCTGCAGTTATCTTTTTTTTTTTAAGTTTATTTGCCTATTGTTATTATTATTATTTTTAGTAATTTCTACACCCAGTGTAGGGCTTAAACTCAAAATCCCGGAATCAAGAATCACCTACTCTTCCAACTGAGCCAGCCAGGTGCCCCTCTTTTATTTGTGTTACATGTTGCCAGGATTCATCCCAGGGGAATGGCAATCCCTGGTTTGTTTTTGTAAATAAAGTTTTATTGGAACACAGTCATGCCACTTGTTTACCTATTTCCTATGACTGTTTCTCAGTCATTTCTCACTCACCATTACAATGGTGCAGTTGAGTAATTGGCACAGAGACCATATGGTCTGCAAAAAATATTCTCTATCTGGCCCTTTACACAAAAAGCTTGCCTACCTCTGCTTTATCCCAGTTTGTTCCTTTTTACTTAGTATGCTCCCTCTTTGTCTCATAGAAATTTTACATTTGGGGATGCCTGGGTGGCTTAGTCGCTTAAATGTCTGACACTTGCTTTTGGCTCAGGTTATGATTTCAGGGTTGTGAGATTGAGCCCTGTGTCGGATTCCATGTTGTGCATGGAGCCTGCTGAAGATTCTCTCTCTCCCCCTCTCTCTCTGCCCTACCGCCTCCTCTCCCTCTCTCTAAAAAAAAAAAAAAAAAAAAAGGAAGAAGAAGAAAGAAAGACATTTTACATTTGTATATAGGACCTCTTGACTTTTTCCTTTGTAGCATTTGGATTTTGTTATTTTATCCAGAAGGCCTCATATATCTTGAGTTAACAAAAATGTTCCCTGTTCTCTTGTAATACTTCTGTGGTTATGTTTGTTGCATTTATGATTTTTAATCCACTAGAAGTTTATTATTTTAAATTCTGTAATATATTTTACTTAACCTAATATATCCAAAATATTATTATTATTATTATTTTAAGATTGATTTACTTATTTTAAAGATTTTATTTTATTTATTTATTTGACAGAAAGAGAGAGATCACAAGCAGGTGGAGAGGCAGGCAGAGAGAGAGGAGGAAGCAGGCTCCCTGCTGAACAGAGAGCCTGATGTGGGGCTCGATCCCAGGACCCTGGGATCATGACCTGAGCTGAAGGCGGAGGCTTTAACCCACTGAGCCACCCAGGCACCCCTTGATTTACTTATTTTCAACAGAGAGAGCAGGAGATGCAAAGGAAGGACAGAGAATCTCAAGCAGACTCCACACTCAGTAGAGTCTACCGTGGGGCTCGATCCCAGGACCCCGAGATCACGGCCGGAGCCAAAATCAACAATGAGACATTTAACTGACTGCACCACTCAGGTGCCCAAAAGATGATTATTTTCAATGTGCGATCAAGATAAATAATTCATGAGATAATTTACATTCTTTTTTTCTTTTGATACCAAGTCTTCAAGAAGTCTGTTTTTGTATATGGAGTGAGGTAGGGATCTAGCTTTATTATTTTCCAAACAGACAACAATTATCTCAACACCATTTATTGCTTAGTTCTTCCATCCCCCATGGATCTGAAAAGGTGTTTCTATAATAGATTAAGTTCTGTTTTATGTATGGGTTTGTCCCTGTGTTCTGTGGTGTTCCATGAATCTTTCCGTTCCTGCTGCAATATCACGCTCCAGTAATAACTGTAGTTGTATTTTGCTCTCTTGTCGGGTCGGACTCCTCTCCTCCTCCTCCTTTTAAAAGAGTGTCTTGACTCCTCTCCCGTCCAGATAAATCCTAGAATCGAAGGGCCAGGTTCCACGGGAAAAAACAAGTTGGGATTTTGATTGGATTGCAGCGGATCATTGTTTTGCCCCACAGGATGGGCAGGGCAGTGATTGTCGTCTCTGCCTTACAGATGGGGAAACTGAGGTCTGGGGAGAGAGGAAGTTAATAGTCCAAGGTCACATAGATGGGAAAGGGTGGGGCAGGCATCCTCATCTCTTGGATCAGTAGAAGTCGGCATCTGTGGATTAAACATGTCCCCTGGGCTGACCAAACAGTGTGTGGGGACTGGGGAGGCTGAGACCCTGTCCTTGCCCCAGCAGAGCTGCAGCCCCCCAGAGAAGTTGGGTGCTTATGGCCCAGGAGCAATATGCGGGTATATGCAGGGCACAGTCTGGCCACAGAGGACCAAGGATTAGCCCTTAGGGAGGGAGGTACCCTGGCGCTGACCACAGTGGGTCAGTGGGAGATTTTTCGACCCTGGGGAAGGAAGGGTGTCCCAGGTGGGGGAACAATGTGGGCAAAGGCCTAAAGGTAACAATAGGACCTGTTGGGACAGTTCCAACACACTGCATTGCCTCTCCCCTTTCTGCTCCTCCTGGCGGTGACCCCTCCCCTTCTCTCTTTTCCCCACCATCCCCTGTGCACAGACAAGGGGATGTGGCCCTGCCCCCCTACTACCAGCCGGAGGAGGACGATGAGATGCCTTTCATCTGCTCCCTTTCGGGGGACAATGGCATCATGGGCTGCCACGAGATCCCCCCGCTCAAGGAGCAGGGCCGCGAGTGCTGCCTGTCCAAGGATGATGTCTACGACTTCGGGGGAGGGCGCCAGGACCTCAACGCCAGCGGGCTCTGTGTCAACTGGAACCGCTACTACAACGTGTGCCGCACGGGCAGCGCCAACCCTCACAAGGGCGCCATCAATTTTGACAACATCGGCTATGCCTGGATTGTCATCTTCCAGGTGAGGCCACTCAGGCCCTGCCGGGGGACCGGGAGACCAGAGTGGGACCGAGGGGTGGACCGAACAGCTTCCTCGGGCAGGTGGGACTTGGTGCTGGGGTTTTGTTGAAATCTGCCCAGCTCGCTGGCACAGGGGCATTATCAAGCCCTGATCACAGACAGAGCAGCTGAGGTTGGAAAGAAAGGAAGTGAGCTATGTGAGGGTCACACGCTCTTTCGTGGAGACTCGGGATTTTAGTCCAGGTCTGGGTGACCCCAAAGCCTGTGCTCTTTGTAGAATCCCAGGTGGCCCAGGGGCAGATGGATCCGAGCAGGGAGGTCTGTTCAGAGAGGGGAGAGGCCAGACTTGTGCCTTGTTTAAGGGGCTGACTAGGCAAGGCCCACACGTAGGATGTGGGGGCAGACACATTCCTGGTGGAGGTGAGCACTGGAGCGAAGGCCGGGGTACAGGGAAGCCCCGGGGTTGTACAGAGAGCACCAAGGAGCTGTTTGTGGGGTTGGGCAAGGTCTCTTGGACGGTTCTCTTGATCAGTCACTAAGAAATACATTTTACTCAATGCATGCATATACACACATATATGCACACAAAGCAGCCTTTTTATTTTCTTTGTTTAAGAATTTATTTATCAGGGAGAGAGAGAGGGAGAGGGAGAGAGTACAAGCAGGGGGACCGGCAGGCAGAGGGAGAAGCAGGCTCCCTGCTGAGCAAGGAGGCCGATGTGGGACTGGATCCCAGAACCCTGGGATCATGACCTGAGCCAAGGGCAGATGCTTAACGACTGAGCCTCCCAGGCGCTCCTGCACGAAGCAGTTTAATGTTACTGTGTGCAAAGGCTTGATGGCCTTGCATGGCCCCTGTGTGTTGCTGAGGACAGGGATGGGGTATGTTGAGGGAACTAGGGCTGTGGGGCCTTGGGTGTACTTCTTGATGTCTCTGAGCCTCAAATTCCACCCGCCCCAATGTTGGGGTAATAACAGCTCTCTTACCGTGAGCGGCTGGGAAGGAGAAACCAGACGATGTGAGCAGAGCCATCAGCCCAGCGTAGAGCGAGGGCTCGGTCAAGGTCACCTGCGTGCTGCCGTCAGAGGGAAGAACAGGGCTAGAGCAGAGAGAGGGCGGTGGCTGAGAGGCCCCGAGAAGATGGGAGGGCCCTACTGAGGTGGCTGCTTTGTGGCTTTGGTCTGGGGAGCAGTGAGATCCCGGGATTCAGAGCTGCAAGCTGCGATGTGATGTGATCACAGCCCAGCGGCTGCGTTTGGAGACCCTTGGCCCCGAGAGGGTGAGTGGGCTTCCGAGGGGCTCCTGCTCCAGAGGCGGACAAGAGGGCGGCACTGGGGAGGGCCCAGCATTTGTTGTGCCCAAGGCTGCTCTGCCTCGCTCTCTGGGAAGGAGAACGGGGACAACAGTCACACCAGCCTCATCACAGCTACGCTTCCGGGTTCAGCGGAACTGCACCCTAGCCCTGCCTATCAGGTGGCCTGCTAGCCCGTGTCCTAGAAGAAGCAGCAGCAGCTGAGGTTCAGAGAATGGCCCAGCTGGTGAGCCGGGGCCAGAGCCCAGGACCCCCGGCTTCCAGCCCTCCTGCCTTCATGTGGGAGACTGGAGGGGGGCGCTCTGGAGCAAGAGGCACCAGGTTTAGGTCTGGCTTCTCCTGCCTACTGGGCTGTGTGACAGTGGGCGAATACCTAACCTCTCTGAGCTTCTGTTTCCTCACGTGTGTGCCAGGGCTGAGAATGGCTGGCCTGTTGAGCCTTGTGAGGAGTCTGAGGGAGAATGTGTATAAAGCGGTCGGGTGCACGGTCGGGCCTCTGCCTGGGACGCTGCATTTGCTGCGTGCCTTCCCCAGGGGTCCTGCCTGCCCTGTCTCGGGCTCACCCCGCCCCACTCTGTTCTGGCTGCAGGTGATCACTCTGGAAGGCTGGGTGGAGATCATGTACTATGTCATGGATGCTCATTCCTTCTACAACTTCATCTATTTTATCCTGCTTATCATAGTAAGTGTCAGGGAAGCTGCGGCTTTCTGGGCCAGCTCAAGGACCCCTGGACGAAGGATGGGGCTGGGGGGAGGTCCCCAGGGAACCCCGCAGAGCCAGGGGACCTGAGTGGGAGGGAGCAGGAGGGGCGATTTTTTAAGATGTCATTGTTGAGTGATCTCTACACCCAGCGTGGGGCTCAAACTCACAACCCGGAGATCAGGAGTCTTGGGCTCTGCTGCCTGAGCCAGCCGGGCTCCCCAGGAGGGGCGATTTTTAAATGCCTCCGAGCCGCGGGTGATGGAAGGGAGTCGTCAAGGCGGCGGCGGGAAGCATTCATCATTTTCTATTGCTTTCATTTCTCATTTCTGGGCATTTAAGTCTATCTAGTCGCTTCTGCTCATGTTTCTCTGCCTCGTGGTCACGGGGAACGCGTTCTTCTCCTCACCTGAACCAGGGGCAGCCCCTGGATGGAAGCTTCTCTAGGGCTCCGGCTTACTCCTCTCTTCCTGGGGTGGGAAGAGGAGATGCCCTGAGATGGAAGGCCTCCCCACCCCCGACTGCTTCTCCACGGGGCTCCCTGAATTCTCGGAGGGATCCTCAACTCTCAGGTGGCTCTGCTTTGTGGGGGTCGCTTCGGGATGGAGGCGGGGCTCTGCCTCAGAGAGCAGGGCCCTTCCCCAGCCGGCAGCCCCTCCTGCCTTCCCCCACAGCCTGCCCAAAGCGAGCTCACCCACCTTGTCATGCCTGACTGCAGGCCCAGCCCCGGTACAGTCCCCCAAATGTCAAGGTGATTCACTCCCGGGAGAGTCAGCGCCGGCTGGCTCCCTGCTGCTTTGAGGCTGAGTTCTCTGGGGTCCTGGTGGTGGGAGAGAGCACGCTTGGCTCTCTGGGGCAGCACCCCATTCTGAGCTGGGGGGACCTTGACCTAGGGGTTCAGGACAAGCTGTCAAGTGACCTGAGACATCCCTGCTGTCAGCTTTGCTCTGATGCCTTCCTGGGGAGGCCTGGGCTGTGGACACCTAAGGAGACAGCTGGATAAAAGGAGAGGGGTCCGGGCTTTGATCAGCATTGTGGTTCACCCACTGGTCTGCCCACGTCCCCAGCACAGCCAGGGAAGCCTGTGCTGCTCGGGGGCATGAGCCTGAGCACTGGGAACTGAGCCCTGAGGGGGGCCCAGCTCTGCTCTCCAGGAGCTTGGTCTGGGGGCGGGGGGCGGTGGGGGGGGATGGGCTGTAGCTGACAGCGACTGGGCAGCATGTTAGGAGCCGTGACAGAAGGAAGCCTGAGAGGCTGAGGGAGCCCAGAGGATCTTTCGAATCTAGCTTGGAGGAGGGATGGGGGAGTGGGAAGCTTCCCGGAGGAGGTGATCCCAGAATTGAGCCTTAAAGGCTCGGGGCCGGCAGCAGCTACGGGGAGAGACTTCTGGGCAGGGGGCTGCGCACAGAGACCTTGAAATGGGCAGAGTCCTGAGGGCGGGACCTCAAACACTGGGGTTACTTAGGGGAGCCTTGAATTTCAGGGAGGGGCTGGAGAATGTGGTCTGTCCCTCCGGATGGAGTCAGGGGTGGGAATATGGGGTCGGTGACTTCCAGCGTGACCCAAGGCAGGCCCCTCAGCTCCCCCGACCCTCAGTAAAGTAGGGGACAGTGATGGCACCCAGGCTTCTGGGCTGGCATACAGGAAACACCCCGTCAGTGTGCCTGCTGCTGTTACTGGGTCCCAGGTGGCCCTGTCCTAAGAGAAGGGGCACTGGCAGGGGGTGGACGGTCCTGAGCTTTTCCAGGCGCTGGGAAGGGCCCAGAGAACAGAGTCTGAGTGACCTTGCTGTCATTTTGCCCTGACAACCCTGGCCCCGCTGGGCCACCTGGCCACTCTCTTCCTCAGGTGAGGACCCGGAGCCCCAGCAAGGCGAGAGGTCCTCAAGGTTCCCCATGACTGGAAAAGTCTTAAGCTTGTCTCTCCTGAGCTTTCAGCTTTACAGATGGGGAAACAGAGGTCCAGAAGGGATGGGGTAGGGGGGCCCCGCGGCCACAGGGCAGCAGCTGTGGAGATAGGCTGGGTAGAAGCCTGACAGGTGTGAGCTCCCAGAGGGAAGGGGCTGTGCCTTCTTCCCGGTGACCCGTCCCATGGGCCTGGTGCAGGGCAGGGCCCTAGGAGATGCTCCTGGAAGAAAGCCAATGATGGGCATCTTCTTACTGGGGAATTTTTCCAGAATCTTCCAGCCAGGAAGTCCCCCCCCCCCATAAGCCCAGAAGCCCAGGTCCCTATTTTTGGCCTGGGGGACAGGAGGGAAGGGTGAATCAGTGGCTGGGTCTGCGGTCTACAGGAAGGCAGCCTGGAGGAGGAGGCAAAGCCACTCCCCTTGCTGATGGGCCTGCGGATCCCCTTCACAGGCTTAGCTAAGACCAGGGTAGCAGCCTGCCCTCTGGAAACCAGGGCAGGAAGGGCTCTGCTCCCTGTGGTGGCCGCTGGAACTGGGCCCTGAGTCAGGAGGTGGCAAGATTCCTAGGACTAACTGGGCAGCCTCTCCCTGCCTCCTCCACCCAAACAGCAGTAAAGCCACACAAGTAAACGCTTTCTGAAGGAACCTTCTCTTTTGTCTGGGTGCCCAGCCGAGGCCAAAGTCAAGCCAGAGAGAGGGAAGAGCTGGAAAGGGACTCAGGGCCTGGATGGCCTGAGCGGGGCTGGGCCGCCCTCCCCGGCCTCCGTGCTGGTGTCCCAGGTGGGAGGGCAGCTGTGGCCCTGGGCCTGAGGGCCTGTGGGAGCAGGTTTGGAAGCAGGTCCCAGTGGGGCCTAGGGAGCTGCCCGGGCCACTGCTGTCCTGGGGTCCTGGCCTCCTGTCGGAGCAAGGCCTCAGCAATCTTTTCCTGTCCCTATCTGTGCCCGTGCCTCTCCGTCTCTCTGGGCTCTCCACCCTCTGCCCCTCTCTCTCCCTGCCTCCCTGTGCCCCATCGCTGTGTCTGCTGTGCCCTCTGCCCCTCTACTCTCTGAGCCTGTGTCACTCTCTCTCGGTGTTTCTCCTGTCACCTCTCTGTCCTCCTGGCCATCTCTGGCTGTCTGCCTCCTGGCTCTGTCCCGTCCCCGTCTGGTGCCTCCGATCTGTCCCTTCTCCCCTTCCTGTCTTCCTTACTGCCTCTGGGTCTCTCTGCTTCTCCCCTACCACTGTCACTCCGGCTCCATCTCTGCCCCCTGCCCCTGCCCCCGCCTCCGTTTCTCTTTCTCTTTCTCTTCATTTTCCTCTCCCCCATCTCTGCCTACCCCCCTCCACCAATCTGTCCCCTTTGTTCCTGTCCCTGTCCTCTCCTCCCGTTGGTCACAGGTGGGCTCCTTCTTCATGATCAACCTGTGCCTCGTTGTCATAGCGACCCAGTTCTCGGAGACCAAGCAGCGGGAGCACCGGCTGATGCTGGAGCAGCGGCAGCGCTACCTGTCCTCCAGCACGGTGGCCAGCTATGCGGAGCCCGGCGACTGCTACGAGGAGATCTTTCAGTACGTCTGCCACATCCTGCGCAAGGCCAGGCGCCGGGCCCTGGGCCTCTACCAGGCCCTGCAGAGCCGGCGCCAGGCCCCGGCCCCAGGCGCGCCCACCAGCATCAAGCCCGGGCCCCACGCCAAGGAGCCCAGGCACTATAGTAAGTGGCCCGCCCTCGCGGCCTCAGGGGATGCCCCAGGGCCCCCTCCCACCCCTGCGGCCTCCGGGGCACCCCACAGCCTCCCAGCTCCTCAGTACCGGCAGAGCTGTCCGGCAGGGGGAGCCCAGGCGGAGCTCCAGTCCGTGCCCCTTGTTCCTTCCCCGCTTTCCTTTTCCTGCCCTCCTGCTGGGGCCTGGCCGGGGCTGGCCTTGGGCTAGGGTGGTGGGTGCAGCACCCTGCCCCCCTGGAGGGGTTCCCTCGTGTGGTCTTGTGCACTCAGATTCCACCCTGGGCTTCACACTTGAGAGAAATGAACACTTGTCCGTCCTGTCCGGTAAAACCCTGAAACTCCCGTCCGCTCAGCCCGCCTCACCCCCTGCACGGGTTCCTGCTGCCCCCATGTGCTTGCTAGCACACCAGAGCAGTGACGACCGGCCACCTGGAATAAAGGGGGTGTGCCCCCCCTGCAAAGGCATGGTTTGTGAGGGACACCTGTGCCATTTTGTGATCTCCTGTTTCCTGGCTGTTAGGCTCAGAAAGCGCTCTCCATTCATTTTCTCATCTGTTCTAGAAAATAGTACTAAGAAGGGGGTCCAGTGAGTGACATGATCCCATTTTTGGATGGGAAAACTAAGGTCCAGATAGATGAAGGGGGTCACTTAAGGTTACACGATGTGTCAGGGACAAAAACAGCATCAGGGACATCTGAGTTGGGTTTGCTGAGCCCGCCTCCAGGGGGTAATGAAAAATGAACGCTCCTGTTCCCACAGAAGGCAAATGCACCCTGGCAGATGCCCCCCCAGTACAACACCCCCTGCCCCCCTCACCAGCCGCTGGTGTTATGGAAGTCCGCAGGGACTGGACCGCAGAGCAGGTGCACAGTGTGTGACCTTGGAGAGCCTGGGCCCCTCAGTAGGCCTCAAGCTCCTGCTCTGTTAATTGGGGTGGGGGAGGCTCAAGGAGCAGTGGGAGTCAGCCACCCCCAGGCCCTGCTCCCGCGGCTCTGACGTCCTGGGAATCTGAGATTCTTGGGAGGCAAGCCGGAGAGCTGGTGCTCAGAGCTGCCGCCCACCCATCCCTGGGTGCCAGCCGTCCAGGCATGGTCTTGGAGGAGGCTCCAGGTGGCCCGTGGGCTGGCCCAGCACGTGGACGGGGGAGCTGGGGTCTGGCGAGGCCGGGAGATGTGGGGAGGGCTTCCTGCTGCTGTCCCACTCCCCCCGGGAACCTGTGTGGACAGAAGTTCAGGGGGCCATCTGGAGGGAGAACGTGCCCCCGGTCCTAGGGCTTTCATGCCTTCCCCCATCCCTTCCCCCTTCCCTGGAAAGCAAGTTTCAGGGGCCCAGCCCCACGTACAAGTGGGGCCAAGCAGGGCTTGGCTGAGATGGGACCGACCCCTGGGATTCTGGCTGTCCCCCTCCGGCTCCAGGGGACAAATGTGTCCGAGGGCCTCGTCCAGGCCGTTGGGAGATATTTGGAGGCAAAGTCTGGAAAGGAAGGGTAGGCATTACATGTTTTTCTTTCCCTTTAATGTTATTTATTTATTTATTTATTTGTGGTTCACATAAGCAAAACACGTTTATTCTAGGAAAATATAGGCAAACATGAAGAAACCAAACCCGGAAAGAACCTCCCTGACACCCATTTGAAAGGGTTCACGGATCACAGAACTTTGGCCCAGGACTGGCCCAGGCTTCTGAAACTCTCCTTGGGGTGGCAAAGGGAATGGAAGCTTCTACGCCCCACTCCCTGCTGTGCCTTCTCCCCCAGGAGCCAGCCCGACTCTCAGCTTGTGAGGGGGGAAGTGTCAGGCAGTTTCTAGAGCGAGGGTCTGCCCCTGCCCTGGGCTCCGGCCTCCTTCCCTCCCCGGGACATAAGCCCCACATAAGGGTGGGACAACGGACAATGGACAGGCCATCTGGGCTCCCCCTGAGGGGCGTCCATTTTCCATACCAGCTTGACTCTTCTAGAAGCTGTTCCTCAGCCATTTCTCCAGCTCCGATGTCAGCAAGCAGGATGGTGGGAGGGCTGGGCCTCAGGCCAGAGAATGATGGAACAAGGCTGGGTAACAGGCACGTGTGCCCCAGGCGCGGTTCCAGACGCACCACACACAGCACTGTTGAACCCTCCCCATAGCCCTGCAAGGAGGCACTCCGAGTCCTGGCTTTACACAGGGGCAGACAGATCCCAGAGAGCTGAAGCTGATCCCTCAGGAGCCACAGGCCCCTTGGTCTCCTGCTGGGCCCCATGAGTCCCAGGCACAGCCTGGGGCCCCGGGAGCCTGAGGCACACACACGGGGCTGTGTCCCAGGGTCAGGCTGGGGCCTGGTGTGGGCAGGGACTGTGCCTCTGAGACCCTCCGACCTGTGTGACCCGAGGCAACAACACCCCTGCCTTGTGTTTGCCTTGCAGAGCTGTGCCCTCAACACAGTCCGCTGGACCCGACGCCCCACGCGCTGGTGCAGCCCATCTCTGCCATGCTGGCCTCCGACCCCGCCGGCTGCCCCCGCTGCCAGCATGAGGCGAGCCGCCGGCCCTCGGCCCTGGGCAGCACCGACTCGGGCCAGGAGGGCTCGGGCTCTGGTGGCTCTGGTGGTGGCTCGGAGGAGGCGGATGGGGACGGAGCCCGGAGCAGCGAGGATGGGGCCTCCTCAGGGCTGGGGAAGGAGGACGAGGAGGAGCGGGCGGCCGGGGCCACCCGGCTGTGCGGGGATGTGTGGCGGGAGACTCGAGCCAAGCTCCGAGGCATCGTGGACAGCAAGTACTTCAACCGGGGCATCATGATGGCCATCCTGGTCAACACCATCAGCATGGGCATCGAGCACCACGAGCAGGCCAGTGGGCGTGGGCGCCGGGTGCAGGGCTGGGCGCGGGTGGGGAGGGAGGGCCAGGTGCCTGCGCCCAAGTGGGACCTATGCAGCCCGGGGTGTGGAACGCCCCCTGTGTGTCTGTCTCCCACCCAACAGGGACTAGGTCCAGGTCATCCCTGTGGCCTCAGCGCCGAGCCCCGGGCCCAGCCCAGAGGGAGGGAGAAGCTCTGGGGGTCTGCGCAGTGGGTGAGCGAGTGAGCAAGGGGAGCCACACGAGTCCCGGGACTGTGGGGCTCAGATCCAGCTCCTTTCTCCTGAGCAGCTCAGCCTGGACACCAGGCACTCACAGCCCTTCCTGTCAGTCCCTGCCTAACCTGACTTCTGGTCGTCAGTTTCCCCGTGAGCCCTCCTGTCCATTCTCCGCCATACAGGTGGAGTGATCTTTCCCAAGGCCGGGCTCTCCCCTGCCCCAAACTGCCATAGCTCCCCATTGCCCTTGGCACAAAATCCAGACCTTTCCTCTGACAGCCACGGCTCTTTTGTGGGCAGTGTCTTCAGCCGGTGGGGCATCCTCCGATCCCCGATGCCCCACCACTTAGTCCACTGTCCACACCACGCCAAGGCACTGAGTGTGGCCCTGATGTTGCCCTGCAAAGACTGTCCCCTGTCTCCCTCCTCTGCCAGCCCCGTGGTTTCTTCTGTCTTCAGCGCTGGGTGCAGAGAGGGCAGAGCGAGTGTTGGCCGAGTCGAATGGTGTGTCCAAGGCCCCTTGGGCCCTCGGGGATGCTTCTGGGGCTTTGGGGCTGAGAGGAATTTGGAGACAGGGTCCTAAGGGGGTAAAACACATGGAAGAGGTGGCAGGAACTCAGGGAGGGTACATTAAGAGTTAAGAGACACTTGTAGGGACACAGGATGGAAGGCTTAGCACATATCTCCAGGACATAGGTCACACCCTGGGGTGACAGCCTTCATAACAAGTCCAGTCCTGGCCCTATTTGAAAACAAAAAACAAAAAACAAAAAACCAACACCATTTTATGGTTCCCCCCAGCCCCTGGGTGGGTACCCTCCCTCGACCTGTGCGCCAGGCCTGTGAGGGCACCCCATTTGTTAGCTAGTGACCCTGAGGCCTAGGGAGGGGATGTCACTGACCTGAGGTCCCACAGCCAGTGAGGGGTCATATCTGCACCCACATCTGACTGTGGCAAGAATGACACCCCCGCGGGCTTAGAACGAAGTCCCCCTTGGCTTCCGTGCCGCCCTCTTTCAGTGGCAGCCCTCCACCCGCCCTCCATGCCCCGTGGTGGGCCACACTCTCATTTCCCTCTTCATTAGCTTGACAAGCCTTGGCTCCATTCAATTTACTGAAATGGGGCCCCTGGGGCTGCAGCGACACTGTGTTTGGAGCTGCCGGCTTGCCAGCCGTTCCGGCTTAATTAAAAAGGTCTCTGGGGGGACTGGGCGGGGACGGCTCTCTGCAGGGTGAAGCTGGGTAGACAGGTGGCCCAGAGTCCCTTCACCTCCCGCTCAGACTTCTGGCCTTTCCTGGCCTCGGCCTGCCAGGAGGGGCAGGAGCCTGGCTGGGCCAGTGGTCCTAGAGGGGGGCCCCACGGGGGACCAGTGATGTTGGGGCGCTGGCTCTCTTTTCTGAGCCGGTGGCACCGAGAGGGCTTGTCATGGTGCTGCTGCCACAGTGGAGCCTGGGCCCCGTTCCCGCTGGGGCTTGGGAGAAGCAGCTTGCGAGAGCCCATTTTCTAACACTTAGGAATGTCGGAAGCTTGTTTTTAAACAGTTGGTAGCTTAAACTTGGCTGTGGTGAGAGTATTTCCACCATAGAGACTGGCATGTGCTGAGGATCAGGGCCCTTTGTCAGAGGCCTGTTGTCGGGTTCTCTGGGACACAGCCTCGCCCCCTACCCAGAGGCCTGGCTTCTACCCCACACACCTCCCCTGCCACCTGCCCCTACTCCCCACCGGGCTCCTTCCCTGGTTCTGGGACTGGCCAGCTGGGGCCCTCGGGCAAGTCCCTCGGCCTCCCCCAGCCGGCGGCTCCATCTGGAAGTGGGCACACGGACCCTGGTCACAGAGGGGCCGGGCGGGTTGACTAGGAAGCGCGGCACACAGTAGGTTCTCACTGATTTGCAACCGTTTAGGAATCTTCTGACTGAGCCTCCCATCACCACCCTTGGGGTGAGGTTACCTTCTGCTGTCTGGAGCCTGGAAAAATTAATTAATTAAATAAAAAGTGAGGGGGAGGGAGAATTTTTTAAAATGTTCTTTTTAAAGCTGCCCTGAGTGGCAGGCATTGTTCCCCCCAGCTCTGCGTGGGGCCTGCTGCGGGCCCGCTGGCGGGTTCGCTCTGCTCCCCTCGGCTCCCAGACGCTCCTTTGTGGGAAATGGTCCGCCCCCGTGTTTATTCTGGGCAACCCTGTCTGAGGTGGTGTCTGCAGAGAGAGGTCCCAGGGCCGCTGGGAGGCGGGGAGAGCGGGCAGGAGCTGGAGAAGGCGGGCGAAGGTGCACAGCCCCTTTCCTGCAGGGGTGGTGACTGCGGCGGGGAGGCATTGTGGGGGCCTGGCAGGGAGACTGGGAGGGTCGTGGGGGTGCTAGGGAGTGAGAATGGGGCAAAGCCTGTGCGCTGCTCTCCTGCCCCGTCTGCCACCCCTGCCTCTGTAGTCACAGGTGCTCCCACGAGAGGTGAGATTGTGAGTGCCCCTGGCCTTTAGGTAGCCATGTCTGCCTCAATCACAAGGGACGCCGACATCCCCAGGTTCCTCATGGGCAAAGATGCTGTTCTTTGCAGGGACTGGCTTGGGAGGAGGTGACAGGTAAAAGGGGGTCATCCAGGGAGGGGCCTGCTTGTGACTCATGAGGTGGTCAGATAGAGCTCAAGTCTGCTCTCCCGAGTAGCCCAAGGGAAGAGAGGGGAGGCCCCGAGTGGTCTATGACGGAGGCTACACGACGAGCAAGTGGGTGGGGTTAGCTGGGGGGCCCAGATCCCTCCATCATCACCCGCCGTCCTGTATTGTGATCCTCATGGCAGCCCTATGGGGCAGGCAAGGCCGGTGTCTTAGATCCACTGGGCAGGTGGTGAAACTGAGGCTTGCCCGGTGACCTGGTAAGCAGCTGTCAGAGCAAGGCTCCAGGGTGCTCAGGCAGAGGCGGAGGCTCCGTGAAGAGGACAGGAGGCACTGGGGAAGCCTGGGTGGGGAGGCCGGGCTCCGGTGGCAATTTCTCCCTCTCCTGGCACTCACCTGCCCCAGTGCACGACTCTTCCCAAGCTGGGCAAGGCTGCTCTCAGCCCCATCCTGTCTGGGAACTGAAGGATGGTCATCGAGTTGGACAAGAAGAAACAGGGTTACACTGACCAGGCAGCAGGGCCGGGGTGCATGCAACCTCCTGGGGCAGGCTAGTGTATGTCCACTGACCCCTGCTCCCAGGGGACGGCATTCAAGGCCTCCAGATCAGTGGATGGCTCAAAGCAATCTTTATTTTCCCTGCGGCAGCCAGTCTGGCATGACTCTGGGAAGAGGAGGACGGGCTGGCTTGGTGCCTAATATTCCAGCTCTGTGGGGACTTAAGGGAGAGAGTCTACATGGGCTGCAGTCATGGAAGGCTTCCCAGAGGCAGTGGCCCTGGAGATGGATCCTGAGGGTTGATGAGGAGTTCATCAGTGAGACAGAGGAGGGGCAGGTACAGGGACCAGGAGCACAGGCATTCTCCCAAAGGGCCCTGAGCCCTCAAGGAGGATGTGCATGAAGGGCAGGAGACAGCCCAGGAGGCTGGGGGTTCTGTCCATTCATAAAGTGTCTTCAGGCAGGGTTTGTCCTCAAGGCAGTGGGGAGTCACAGAAGGCTTGTGAGGAGGGCAGTGTCATGTCTGTATACTGAGCTGGAGCCTCAAGTCAGAAAAGTGGGGCAGTTGAAGCTGTCAGGGCCATGGGAGGGGACAGGCCAGAGGGAGAATTCCTCTGATTCAGATTAAGATCTGATTCCACTGCTTCCTGGCCCTGGCCCTGAGTTGTCACTTCCCTCTGAGCCTCAGTGTTCCCGTCTATGAGATGGGGATACTGTGGGGTAATGTTTGAGATTAGATGAGATAATTTGAGGGAGGTGCTCGGCACCAGCTTGGGGAGGGGAGACCCTTAATACCAGCCACCATCATTACCATGGGGCGGCACCGGGCTCCACGGCTTCCTGCAGACATCGGAGGGGCCCCTGCCCAGCAGGACCTTATTTACGCCTGCAGAAACGGCCAGAGGCTGGGTGGCCTCATGCCTCCATGGCGTTGGGCCAGGAGGAGTGAGGCCCCTGTCCCTCTCCTGCCACTTCAGGCCTCCAGTTTGCAGCTCCTCCTAACCTGCCTTCTACCCTCCTGCCTCCTGCCTAACATGGTTTTCCGCCCTTTCTTGCCTCCCTCTTCCACTGGTTGGGTCTCTGCTGCCCCTGCCCCGCGGTCTGACTGCCTGCTGTCGCTCATGTTTCTGGCCCCCTCACCCACTCCCGCAAGGTCCTGATCTTGGGCCTTCATTATGTTTTCACATGTATTTTTCTTCCTGTCTCCACACCCCACCTTTGCCTCTCACTCCCTGTGTCCCTGTTTGTCTGTCTGTCCATCTCCCTCACAGTTGCCCCCGTCCCCGTCCACACACCCTCCCCCCTCATCTCACCAGACAGAAGAGTCTGTGTTCATCCATCTGTCTTCGCTCCCTGTCTCTCTCCCAGAAAAATGCTTGCGGGAGTGATGGATGGTCCATTAGAGAAAGATTAACAGGTGTGCGCTGGACTAGAGAAACAGCTGCTGTGATTGGGGGGGCGGGGGGCGAGCAGGTGACCTTTCCTCGAGAGCGGCGGTCCCACATCAGTTACGGGGCGGGAGTGTGTGTGGGGGGCATTGTGGGGCCCAGAGCGGGCTGACCCTCATTATGGACTGCCGGCCTGTCAGCGGCCCCGTTTTCCATCTCTGCTGCCACCGTCATTCTGGTAGGCTTGGTGTCTCCGAGCAGCATCTGGGCCCAGCCCCTCCCCACCCAGGGCCCCTCTCTGGGTCCCACTCCTCTTTTGGGGCCATTTTGCGGGTCAAATGTAATTACAGTTGGGAGTGGGCCTTTGCCTTTTCTCTGGGCTTGAGAGGACCTGGCAGTTTTATTAGTTTTCCCAAGCACTGGTTGCAAATGGGCGGTTGTGTACATTTTTTCCCCCCCTCTTCTCCTTTTAACCCAAATGGAATCAGAGTCAGGCTAGAGAAGCACCCTGTCACCCTGTTGCCTGGTGGAGGGACTGGGCTGGGGGATGGGGACGCCAGTGGACGGCGCTCTCTCTCACATCCCACTCTCGCTCTGGCTGTTCTCTTGGCCCGGAGTCCGTCTCTTCTCCTCCCTGTCACTGGCCCCCCCCCTCAGCTTTGGGGTCTCTGCAGAGAGGTCCCTTCCTCCAGGAAGCTGCCCGGACTGCGGGGTCACCACTGCCTCAAGGCACCCTCAGCTTTTCTCTGTCAGCTTGGGTGTTGGGCTTTGCTTGCTGGGGACAGGGACAATGTCCGGATGCATTCACCCCCTGCAGCCCCGGGGAGGGCACGCACCTGGCCCGTTAGTGACCTCTCAGCAGACCTGTGGAGGGTGTGAACCATGGGGGCGTGTGAAGGCGTGGCTGGGTGGGTTCTGGGGGGCTCTGTGTGTGTGTCCGGCGAGAACAGTTTGGGGCGTGATTCCGTGGCTCTGGTGCGTCTTGGCTGGGGGGCTCAGAGCGTCAGCGCACTCCTTGGAGCCTCCGTGTCCTTCTCTGTGAACCGGAGATGCCAGCAGCAGCCTTGCGTGTTGTCGGAGGGGTCAGTAATTGTGTTGGGTATCGGGCTCAGTGTGGGCACGTGGTCAGGCGGGAGCATCGTGGCTTGGTGGTGAGAAGAAACCAGACACTTCATGGTGCTAGAGGGCTCGTGGAAGAGGGGCTGGAGCCCTGTGTGGCACTTAGCAGAGAGGGCCGGAGTGAATGTCATCTTATTTCACGCCGTTGTTTTATGGATGAAGAACTGAGGTGGGAGTGGGGCGGCGGAAGCCCCTGGGACCCTCCCTCCTAGTCATGGCCCAGAAGGTGGCCTGTTTTATACACCAGCATTGCTCGCATGGCTCCATTTGTCAGGTATCACCTGCTGCTAAAAACCAGGAGGTAATCACGTCTGGGCTCAGAGGGTGGCTGTCCAGCCAGGGGTACTAGTCGCCTTCTGACCAGCTAGTGACTAACCCCTGACCTCCCTGGGTTCTAGTGTCTTCCACTGAGAAACATGTGAAGTACAGGAAAGAGCCGTCGTGGGACCCAGTAGGTGCCCGGTCTCTGTCTCTTCTTCGCACAGTGCTCTCTAGCCACCCACAATCCTGAGCTGACCATTGCCGGGGAAGGGAAGCATGGGGAGGACTCGGGAGGGAGGTCTGCACAGGCAGGGATGAAGGGTGGAGCCTTGGAGCTGGGCTGCCCATGTTCGCATCTTGGCTCCCCTCCTTACCTGCTCCACAGTCCAAGGCAGGGGACTTGGCCTTCTCTGAACCTGCTTCCTCCTCTGAGAGATGGGCTCTTGTGTGGGATTAAGTGACACGAGGCCTGTAAAGTTCAAAGGACAGGTTCTGCACATGGTAAGTGCTTCCTAAGTGGGGTCATGGGCAGACAGGGACTCTCTAGCAATGACTGGCCTGTCGTCTTGCCTTGCTCTGCATCAAGCCATGTGACCTTGAGTCAGCTTCTGGTCCTGTTTCCTGATCTGTAAAATGGGTGTCACGATAGCTCCCTCAGTGCACAGGTTACCAGCGTCATTTCCGAATGTGTGGAAGGTCAGCCCGGCGGTGTCCCACCCTCTTGGTGGACTCTCAGGGCGGCAGCAGAAGGCCAGCCCCCCTGTAAGATTCTCAAGGCCATGTGCTCCAGCAAGGATTCTGCCCCGCCTCCCTGGGGGTCCTGGAGCTGCCGGGCATCCAGAGAGGATCCATGGCTGTGCTCTGGCCTCACGGGGTCCCTGTCCTCTGTCTCAACGCCTCCACAGCCCGAGGAGCTGACCAACATCCTGGAGATCTGCAACGTGGTCTTCACTAGCATGTTTGCCCTGGAGATGCTCCTGAAGCTGGCTGCCTTCGGGCTCTTCGACTACCTGCGCAACCCTTACAACATTTTTGACAGCATCATTGTGATCATCAGGTGCCGCCCCCCCCCCCCCCCCCCCCCGCCCGTTCCCCGCAGGCTGCAGGCCCACAGGCCCAGAGTGGGGAGGAGGGGGATCTAAGGTACCCACCCCCAGCCAGGAAACAAAGTGCGTAAGAACACAAAGGAAATCAATTACACCCAAACACAGTTATCAAATATTTAAACATCTGTCATTCAGTAATCTACGCGCTTCTAGATTAATGCATGAAATAGTAAGATCTAGCGGTGGATCTCGTGACTACGGTTGTTCCCAAGAAAGGATGAGAGTCAGTAATATTTGGAGATATGTACATCAACGGTTATGAGATAGAAAATTATCGGCGATTTTGACCGGCCAGAAAATAAAAGGGACCGCTGGTTCTCTGTGGCTTGTTTACATTCATAACCAAAAGAATGTTAAATCTCAAAAAGAGGTCGGTGGGTACACCTCCTGACTTCTAGCCCCAGACTTCTCGTGGGGGGGTGTCCACGGACTCCAGGTCAGGAGCCCCTGACTTAGCGCATACCCCGTGGCAGCAGTGACCCGTGAAACGTGTTATTTGTGGGATGGACGAATGAATGAATGGAAGCTCTCGTCTCTCCATCCTCCCTCTGCCTTCCTCCCCACCCCCACCCGCCCTCTGCTGAACCCTCCTGCCTCTCTCCCTCCTCCCCCCGCTCACCCCCTCCCAGCATCTGGGAGATCGTGGGGCAGGCGGACGGCGGGCTGTCGGTGCTGCGGACCTTCCGGCTGCTGCGGGTGTTGAAGCTGGTGCGCTTCATGCCGGCGCTGCGGCGCCAGCTGGTGGTGCTCATGAAGACCATGGACAACGTGGCCACCTTCTGCATGCTGCTCATGCTTTTCATCTTCATCTTCAGGTAAGCCCCGGCCACCCGCGCAGGTGTAGGAGGCTGGGGGAGCACCTTCAGGTGAGCCCCGCCCACCCCGCACCCCCACGCGCAGGAGGCTGTGGGAGCACGGCTGGCCGGGCTTCTCCGGGCAGCACCCTGGACCTGGGTGTGAATCCTGACCCCATCGCTTTATCTCTGATGGCTTGGGCGCGTCCTTGCCCTCTGAGGCTCAGTGTTCGCCTCTGCAAAATGGAGCCAGTGCTGCCCTCCCCGCCCCCACCATCTTATCCTGGGGGTTCTGAGAATTAAACAAGGTGGATGGGTCCCTTGAGCCACCTCCGCTCCTCCCCCAGTATCCTCGGGATGCACATCTTTGGCTGCAAATTCAGCCTCCGCACAGACACGGGAGACACCGTCCCTGACAGGAAGAACTTTGACTCCCTGCTCTGGGCCATCGTCACGGTGTTCCAGGTGAGCGACCGCATGTCTTCCTGTGTGTGTTGGTGGAAGGGGTTTCTCCCAGGACCGCTGCTTGGGTGGTTTTTTCAGAGGTGGCCCCTCGGAGAATCCAGAGAAGAGGAGTGACCCGCCAGGGAGGCCCCTCAGTTCTGGCCTCCAGCAGACAGGTCCGGGTGCCAGGTCGGGGGGTACTGCACGGGATCTGGGAGCTGGAGTGACCGCCTAGGGTCTGTCCCTGCCCCTCCACTCCTGCCCAAGACTTGGGCACCTTGGGATTCTCCTCTGAGACTGTTTCTTCACCCACGCAGTCTGCCACCTGGTGGATTCCATCTGCCCCCCAGGCTGGGCTGGGGCTTGGGGTTGCCCCCAGGCTGAGCTGTCTTCCCACTTACCCCACAGATCCTCACCCAGGAGGACTGGAACGTTGTCCTCTACAATGGCATGGCCTCCACCTCCCCCTGGGCCTCCCTCTACTTTGTCGCCCTCATGACCTTCGGCAACTATGTGCTCTTCAACCTTCTGGTGGCCATCCTAGTGGAGGGCTTCCAGGCAGAGGTGACTGCAGCCCTGGCAGAGGCAGCACCCCCTGGGGCCCGCACTGGGTGTGTGGGGGGGTCTGGATGGGGGAGGGCTGCAACTCAAACATCTAGCAAGTAACAAGGTCCCAAGGAGGGGGTTGCCGATTAGGTGGTGAGCTTCCTATCGCAGGAAGCATGCAAATGGAGGCTGCCTCTCAGATCCCTGCCTTTCCCCTAGGGGTGTAGGACTAGGTCTCTCCATTTCTGAAATTCGAAAGCCCCTAAGGTCTGGATTCTGCCTCCTCCCTTCTCTGAGGCTCAGGGTTTACCTGCAGTCAGGCAGATGTGCATTTATGGCCTCTCACTTTCCTTTTCTGGGCCTCTGTTTCCCCTATCTGTAAAATGGGGGTGAAAAATTCAGGAGGGAGGGACGGGCTGAGCCAGCCTGCATTCCAACAAGAGGGATGGTCTCCCAGGGTGATGCCAACCGCTCCTACTCGGACGAGGACCAGAGCTCATCCAACATGGAGGAGTTTGACAAGCTTCAGGAAGGCCTGGACGGCGGCGCAGGTAAGCAGGTCTCCACTGGCACCTAGGGGACCAGGATTCTTCCCCAGTGATACAGGTGGGCGAAGGGCATGGCGTCGGGTTTCCCCTCAAGCCCAGGCTCCTGAACTCTAATTCTCTGTGGTTTATTCACATGCACAATGGAAAGAAACACACAAATGCCCCAAAAGAGGTCAGTGACATTCACAGCCCTCCTGAATTCTAGCCAGTATTCACCCAAACCCGTCCACAGCATGCCTGTTAGGAAGAGGCTCGAACCTGAGAACACCTGGGTTCTGGTCCTGTTGGCACCATTGGGCAGCTTGGAAGGAAGCCTCCCCCACCCTGAGCCAGTGTCCTCCGTGGTAATTGGGCTGGACCGTCTTTACCTTGCTTCCTGAAGTGGGCCCAGGAGTGAGGTTTCCAGGCTGGGTGAAGCTTGGGGCTGGTGCTGAACACAGGAGACAAAGGATCTGCTCATCCAGAAAGAAAGCTGACATGGGGCACCTGGGTAGCTCAGTGGTTAAGTGTTTGCCTTCGACTCAGGTCATGATCCCAGGGTCCTGGGGTCGAGCCCCACATCGGGCTCCCTGCTCAGCGGGAGGCCTGTTTCTCCCTCCCCCACTCCCCCTGCTTCTGTTCCCTCTCTTGCTGTGTCTCTCTCTGTCAAATAAATAAATAAAATCTTGAGAAAAAAAAAAAAAGGAAATACAACTTAATAGAAAACAGGGCTTAGAGCCCATTCCTTAAAAAAAAAAAAAAAAGAAAAGAAAGCAAGCTGGGGGCGCCTGGGTGGCTCAGTGGGTTAAACCCTCTGCCTTCAGCTCAACTCATGATCCCAGGGTCCCGGGATCGAGTTCCGCATTGGGCTCTCTGCCTAGCAGGGAGCCTGCTTCCCGCTGTCTCTCTGCCTGCCTCTCTGCCTACTTGTGATCTCTGTCTGTCAAATAAATAAATAAAATCTTTAAAAAAAAAAAAAAAGCTGACATGATAAGTTCTGAGGAACAATGTATAGAATTGTTGAGTCACTTGTATTATACACCCCAAACTAAGAAACACTGTATGTTAACTATACTTAAAGAAAAAAAAGCAAGCTGACCGCTCTCCAGGGAGGGTGGAAGAGAGGCACATGACTTATGGTCCAACCCACAAGGTGGAGGAGATCTCCCCAGGAAGACTGTTTGCTGTTGTTCTTTGCTTGTCCCCCTTCTGTCTCGATCTCACTCCTCCAGATCCTAAGCTCTGCCCGATCCCCATGACCCCCAATGGGCACCTGGACCCCAGTCTCCCGCTGGGTGGACATCTGGGCCCCGCCGGAGCTGCAGCACCTGCCCCCCGCCTCTCGCTGCAGCCAGACCCTGTCCTGGTGGCCCTGGGCTCCCGCAAGAGCAGTGTCATGTCACTGGGCAGAATGAGCTATGACCAGCGCTCCCTGGTGAGTCCTTGTGGGGTGCTCTGGATGGGTGCTCCCTGCTGGGGCACGTGGTGAGGGACCCTGGGGAGAAGTGCCCGTCAGTCTAGCCTCAGGCTGGTACCCAGGTTTAGGGGACCAGACTCCCTAGCTAGAACCAGGCAGGGACCATGTCTGTTGCATTCCTGGGTGCCCAGTGCCAGAGTAGGACTTGGCAACAAAGAATGAATGAATGAATGAATGAATGAATGAATGAGTAGTGCCAGTAGGTCCCTTAGGAGAATTTTCATCTTGGCTGCAATGTGTAGGGTAAAGAGCTGGGCTTTGGGGTTAGGCACATCAGAATTCAAATCTGGCCCCTGCCATTTTCAAGCTGTGTGACCACGAGCAAGTTACAGCCCTCTCTGAACCTTTTTCCTTACCTGTGCAATTAGAAGACCACCCTGAGGTGCTGTAGCTTCCTCGGGGGGGAAATGAGGGGGCAGGAGGAGATGTAGCCACATCCTAGAGGTGCCATGTCCAAGAGTGAGAGCCAGGCAGGGAGAGGACCCGTGGGGCCTAGCCTGTTCTGTCACCCACTAGCCAGGCCGGTGGCCCTCTTAGGGCCTCAACGGGTGTGCGAGCTGCCTTCAGTCACCGCAGTGGCTTGTGTGGGTGGTGGCTTCCTTCCAGTCCAGCTCCCGGAGCTCCTACTACGGGCCGTGGGGCCGCAGCGGGGCCTGGGCCAGCCGCCGCTCCAGCTGGAACAGCCTCAAGCACAAGCCGCTGTCGGCCGAGCACGAGTCGCTGCTCTCGGCAGAGCGCGGCGGCGGCCCCCGGGCCTGCGAGGGCGCCAGGGACGAGGGGCCGCCGCGCGCTGCGCCGCCGCATGCCCCGCACGCCCACCACGCGCACCAAGGTCCCCACCCGGCACACCGGCACCGCCACCACCGCCGGACACTGTCCCTCGACACCAGAGACTCGATGGACCTGGCCGAGCTGGTGCCTACCGTGGGCGCCCATCCCCGGGCGGCCTGGCGGGCGGTGGGCCCGGCCCCGGGGCACGAAGACTGCAATGGCAGGATGCCCAGCATCGCCAAGGACGTCTTTACCAAGATGGACGACCGCCGGGATCGCGGGGAGGATGAAGAGGAGATCGACTATGT